TTTCCTCAGCGACCAGCACGGATCAGCTCTAGGCATGACGAAGCGGATATCGTCCTCTTTTGAAAGGCCGAAGTAGTTTCCCTTTCACAACGAAACACACAGCGTGCGTCTCCACGGCATGGCAGCGGCAGCAACAATACTACAGCGAGAATAAAAGTTACACCTTCTTTCTTTGCTGGAACATTTGAGCGGTGTTATGCAAATCTTCCCCCATAGTGACGTAGACATGTGGGGGCGTTAGAACGAGCTGTTTTAGGTAGAAAATTTGAAATCGCATCATATGACCCCTTTAAGACTGTGCTTATCCTGTATCGTTTGTGATAAATAATAATTTCAAAATAGACTCAATAGCTAGATGTGTATGCAGTATAATGATTATATGAGGGCAATGGGAATAAGAAAAGAGGTCAGGTCTGTTGTATGTAGTTTTTTTTATAAACAAACAGGAACTTTGTCTTAGTTTTACTGCTGTCTTCGCATATTTGAAACTGCTGGTAGGAGGGAAGCATATGAATAGCACACGACTCATTATTTCACCAATCATTAACTGTTGCTGCTTATCCAGGAACATAGTGAAGCAAACCAGAACATTTTTATCGCTTCAGAATCAAGATAAGTTGATCAGGAATTCAGTTTTGCATGTTGTATTGTGAAATATACATAAACAAATGGCAGGAGAAAATGACGGAAAAACGTTTACAGCATTAATTTTGCACATTTTAATAAAGCCATCTCATGTTAACATCATTTTGTGTTTTCCCAACTACATGATGACGAGAACGCTTTAAAAAACAGAACATTTCTCTGTGTATTTATGTACAATTTTTTATTACAAATGGGTTAGAATGAATCATTACCTTACAACACAAAACCCCTATAAAAAATTTTTAAAAGTGTGTTTTTGGTCATTAATAAATGAGAGCTTGCTTAAATACTTATACTCTCACTAAGCATTCTTTCAGTAGTCACATCCATCTTATGACAAAGAAAAAAAATGATAAAGAAATTATACCAGTGCTCACATCACATTTCTTCTGATACAAAACTTATCTTTAGGGTTAAAATGTTACTATTTGTGCTATTATGGATTTGGAAAAAAAAAACAAAAACAAACAAAAAAAATCAGATACACTACTGTTGACCACATAATAACACAGAAAGATCAATTAGGGCCAAAGACAAAAAAAAACTATTTGCAGTTGATTGAAAGGTGAGTTTTCAATCTTATGTGTGTCTCATTTACACAAACAATTCAAACAGAGACAGATTGTGAATTTTTTCGAGTGTGTTTTGAAAGTTTCGAGTTTTTAAGCATATGCCACAACAGTGCAGATGGCCTTGTAAACATCTGTCCACAGCTACAGTCAAAAGCCGCCTTGCATTTCTTCTTCACACACCACCTACCATTTCTATGCTTCCGTTTGTGGCAGGTCAATTTATGCGCCCCTTCGAATGTATTTCCGCACCGTGCACAAACAAATCGGACTGACTCCGCATGCTGGACCTGGTGTCTCAGCAAATGCAGCTGCCTTTGGAACGACCTTCCACACTGACATCTGTACAACCTTGACCCACGGTGTAAGTAGCGGTGACGCACCTTCAGCGACGGTTGTCTTGAGACGGCACCACAGTGGCGGCAGGGGAAGATGGTCTTGGACCGCCAGCTCTGCTCGGGTCGCTTCTGCAGAGCCAAATCCCTGCTTTGGTTCACAAACATGGCCACTATTTGTAACGGAGCCTGAACCTGGGCAGGAGGGATCTGTGGCTGGTTGTGGTCAGTAAGAGCAATGACCAGGGTGGGACAAGTGACTGAGGTCATCAGCGGGACGTTTACAGGTAGGGGTCTAATATTAGCAGGAGGCGTTTGTCTCAGAACAGGCCTGTTGGTTGAAACTAGACAGGGTGCTAAGACGTTCACTGTGGGTGAGAAGGATACGACGACTTGACTTGGAAAAGGTGGATTGGAAGGGGTAGGGATACGAAGAGTCATCCTGGCCAGATTCGGCATCAAGGGACGCACTACTGAAGGTATATGGACAGGAACTTTCGGACGAGCGACACAAGAACTTTGAGGGAAATGGGGCCTGATAAGAGTTTGCGGCACAGCCACAAATTGTGGAACCAAATCTGTCACCTTAGCAGGAACCAAAGGAGTTGTCTGAAGCAATTGCTGCAGCGTCAAATGTGGAGGATCAGGGGCTAGGGAAATTTTATTCACTGCCGGAGTTATTTTGATCATTTTAATGGAGTTTTGATTGGCATACAAAGCAGGAGCAGAAGGTCTTACTTGACCGGATAAAGGCACGACAGGTAACTGGGTTAGCACGGTGGCCGGCAAGTTCATGCTGCCTGTTGGTCTTCTCAAACAGACATGATTTTTGTAACTGTCCAGTCTAGGAAAAACACTGTGGCAGTATGCACAGAAATACCCAGCTGCGGGGTGTTTTTCAGTCGTGTGCTTCAGCAGCAACTCTTCATTCTCACATACCATGCTGCACAGACAACAAGCAAATCTCAGTTTGATCCTGCAATCATCGATGTGCTTCTCCAAATTAGCGAATTTGCCATAGCAGCAAAAGGGAGAATCGAACTGAAACCCAAATTTCTCTGCTATGTCAACTGACTCTAGATTCCTATTTGCAGGTCTTTTACTGTCGGGAGTCTGTTTCTTTCGTCTCTTTTGGTGATGGCCGTAGGAGCTGCTTCTTGAGTCACTGTCATTAGGTTCTGAGCTGAAGTCCTCATCCAGGTTGTACGCCGTGTCACCAGGGGGTAGTGAGTCAGTGTTGACATCATCATCAGTGTCGGTACTTTCGTCATCCTCCATCAGTCCAGTTTCCTCCTCTGCAGCCACCTCACAAGCTGCAGTTTCTCCGAGCCCATCCTCATCCTCATCCTCTTCCTTCAGTTTAAAGCTTAGATGCTCTTGCTCTGATTGATTCAAAGGGCATGAGGAAAAGCTCAAGGTATCGTTTTGTTTGTCAATAATAGGCAATCTTTCGGTTTGTGTTTTGATGTGTGACACTTGATTTGTGGAGTTTGTATCATTGTCGATGTGTTTCTGGATGGCATTACAAGTGTCATTTGTAGCTACTTGATCTGAGACACAATATGAATGATCCCTCAAGGTTATTTTTCTCATATCAGTGTATCTTATGTTCTCTTTGATGCTGATTTCTTCTGTCTGTTCCATTTTAACCACAGGTTTTACCTCCATTGCATCTTTCTGATGCTTTTCCATATGTCCATTCAGATGCCATGTGCACCTAAAGAGAGTTCTGCAGATTCCACACATGAAACTGTGCCTTGGATGGGCATTTTTTAAGTGTATCGCCAGCGACATAACGCGTCCAAACTTTGTCCGACACAGGTGGCAATACACCTCAGCTGTGTGCGTCTTGAAGTGCTCTATCAGTTTGTTCAGTAAGGGGATGTTTTCTTCACAAACACAGCACACAGAGCCTTCCTCACTTTTAGGTGCCAGTGGTGCCATGTAGTCATCCTCATCACTGGAGTCTTCTGAGAAACCTTGATGAGGTGCAGAGATGATGTTGTAATAGCCCTAAAAACAAAGAAAACAATCCTATGAAAACTGGTAGTTTACGTAGTGTACATTTCATAAAAGATCAGAAAGCAAGGGAGGGGGGTTTATGATGTAATGCTTTCACTTTAATATAATATTCATATATTACCTAGGGATGTAACGATTACAGGTTTGATGATAAATCATGATAAAATTCCCCACGATTAGTATTACCGTTTCATATTTTAATTAACATTATAACCGTTAATAGATTACCACGATTTGAACAACTGAGGATAAATAAATATTGTCTAGCATAAAGCAAAGTTTTAAGTAACAGTCTCACGTGTGCACAGCACGCAGAGTTGTTTCGTTTTGGGTAAAAACCTTTTTTTACAGTCTATGGTGAAAACACAGTGGAAAAGCTGGGAGGTTTTAAAAGAGTGCTAAGGGAATTATACAAATGAATATATGAATAAACTAATTATATGAATGTACCTATGAATGCACCTCTGAAGGTACTGACTGTCTTCAGAAAAGATTCAATGGCATTTTGTTTTCATCTTCGCTCCATGTAATACCTAAAGTAGTGTTCTTAATCGCAATGCTGCTTTGAGTTTATGGGGAAACAGCTGTAATTCAGCTTTTCCATAAGTGCCACCTGCTGTCAGCGAGTGGATTTACAGAGACTTATATTTACATTCAGCTTGCCTGCAGTTTTTGTCTGGTCAAAAACGGACCGAATTTGCATGCCCTGCTGTAAATTTTGACCGGTTGATGAAAAACAAGCTTATGTGGATTCTACACATTTAAACAATTCAGATACGTTATCTAGAATTATTTATGGAGCAGAAAAAATACATAAAATCATTTATTAATCAATTATCATTTTGACTTAAAGTGGTCATATGATGCTATTTTAAAGATCATTATTTTGTGTATTTGGTGTAACAGAATATGTTGACATGCTTTAATGTTCAAAAAACACAGTTTTTCAAATACTGTACATTATTGTAGGTCCTCTATGCCCCGCCTCTCTCAAACACGTCGTTTTCAACAAAGCCCCCTCCTTTGACAAGCGCAGTCTGCTCTGATTGGCCAGCTGACCCAGTGCATTGTGATTGGCCGAACACCACAAGCACGCGTCGGAAATGTAACGTCCCTTACCATAATAGCTTCAGCTTTCAAAGTAAATATCAAGACAGTTAATAATGTCGTTAGTTTTACCATAAAACTGGTAGTTTACGCAGTGTACATTTCATAAAAAAGCAGAAAGCAAGGAGGGGGGGCATGATGTAATGCTTTCACTCTAATATAATATTAATATATATTACCGTTAAAATTTGGGGGATGGTAAGTCTTTTTTTTATGTTTTTGAAAAGTTGCTTACAAAGTGCATTTATCAAAAATACAATAATACAATACAATACAATAATATAACATTAATATTTAAATAATAAAACAACGGCTTTTAATTTTTATTTAAAATTTAAATTGTAATTTAATTTTAAAATATAATTTATTCCTGTTATGGCAAAGCTGAATTTTCAGCAGCCATACTCCAGTGTCACATGATCTTTCAGAAATCATAATATGCTGATTTGCTACTCAAGAAACATTTATTATCATCAATGTTGAAAAAAGATGTGCTTCTTAATATTTTTGTGAAAACTGTTTTTTCAGGATTAAATTAAAAAATAAGGTTAAATAAAAGGTTAAATAAAAAGCTCAAAAGAACAGCAACAGAATTTGTTTTGTGACAATGTAAAAGCCTTTTGATCAATTTAATGCAACCTTCTGAATAAAAGTATTTTTTTATATAAAATATTATTGACCCAAAACTTTTGAATGGTAGTGTATATATATTCAGCAATATTTGTATTTCTTTTCATCTCATTTCCTAGTGAAAATGATATGCATGTAAAACAGAGTCAACCAGTTGTCATGATAATCTCTCTGGAGTAACAGGTCTAAATATTTATCTTAAAGGGGTCATATGATGCTGCTAAAAATAACATTATTTTGTGTATTTGGTGTAATGAAATGTGTTTATGCGGTTTAAAGTAAAAAAAAAAACACATTATTTTCCACATACTGTACATGATTGTTTCTCCTCTATGCCCCGCCTTTCTGAAACGCGTCGATTTTTACAAAGCTCATCGGTCTGAAAAAGCGAGGTGTGCTGTGATTGGCCAGCTATCCAGTGCGTTGTGATTGGCCGAATACCTCAAGCGTGAGACGGAAATGTTACGCCCCTTAACATACTGTTGTATTCCCTCAGCGACCAGCATGGATCAGCTCTAGGCATGACGAAGCGGATATCGTCCTCTTTTGGAAGACCAAACCAAAGAGAAAGGAAGAATTGAAATCGCATCATATGACCCCTTTAAGGACACAATGGCACAAAGAGCAAGATTGTAACCATAGCAACCATCTTTTTGACTGCACATTCCAACAGAAATATTAGAACAGATCCCTAAACTTGTCTAAATAACACTTCTGACATATCACTACCAAGAAAACCAATCTAAAAATGGTTTCAGAACAAAGTGAGGTTATGCCAGTCCTATTTTGCTTTTTGTTTTTGCGCATGTGCATGACTGAGATGGTCAGCAGATGGCAAGCATGTCATTCAATTGCAAATCAGCAACTGAATTGTAATTCAGAAAGTCTTCTGCTAGAAAAACACTATTAATACAGCAAGTAACTGCTTAGTACAAATGAGAACGTCAAACTAGAATTTGTGTGTTTCACTGCAAGTTCATTGAAAGAGATTTGTTTTTAGACGTTTCCTCATGTAAGGGTAATTAACTGCACCACTTACATACTGTTGAATACCAGTGACACCACCTTGCTGCAGCTGTATTTTGGCACCAGCAACACGCTCCACCTCCTCAAATGGTAAGATTTCCATGACAACTCTTGTGCAGCTTCCTTTAGGCTGAAACAGTAAGAAAAAACTATAGGTAACCAGCACACACACACACACACACACACAAATGGTGCAACAATATTGCAGTCTACCTATACATTACATATACACCTGCATTACCGTATCATGTGCAGCTTATTAGTGTCTCTTCCTGAAATATAAAATCAGTTTGAATCTTGTTCCAGAAACTTTAGAGGGTGTGGTCTGTTTGTGCAGTTATTGATTTTTCCGTTTTTTTCTGTCAAAGTAAAACAGTGACGTTACGTCAGGCAGATATCACACTTTATTAAATAATAAATAAACTCTCTTAACCTGTATAAACAACCTGACATTTAAAAGGACAAGATATAAGCTAGTGCCAGACCTTTCATTGTAGCATGTTTCTCACACCTTTTATGGTATGTAAGAGGAGCTGAAAACGAGAGAGACCTCCATACAAACGCCTATACTTACAATATAATGATTTCATTAATAATTTTCGTGTTTCGGTGCTGGCTCCTCCCACAAACATGTACGCACGCGCGAGTCCGTCTCCTAAATTCGTCCGGTGTGGTGACAAATCGAGTCCCCCCTCGAAATCCGGTCTCCATTAGGACCCCAAGCGATCCCATTGGCTCAAATTAAATTTTATAGGTACTCTCTTTAGCGCCTGATTACAATTCCTACAAAATCGTGTTATGATAAATGCTGTTTTAACTACGTTATAATGACCATTAATGTCTGTATTAGTTAGCTTATGTACTAGCATAGCATACATATACCAGATTAGCCTGATAAGTTAGTTTATACAGGAATTTGCACTTATCCTACATGTATTCATACTTATTTTTAAATTTAATTATGTTAAATTAAGTGTTAAATGTCCAAAGTTTTATTTTATAAATAAAACTAATTAATGATGTTCACTTATTCACTTAATGGGGTATTATTAGTTTTATTTATTAATTAGCAGGAAATCAAGTGTAAGAGATTACGTTTAATTTGTTTCATTATGCACTAATTTGTGACCCTGGACCACAAAACCAGTCATAAGGGTCCATTTTTTTTCAATTGAGATATATACATCATTTCCATTGATGTATGGTTTGTTAGGATAGGACAATATTTGGCCGAGATACAACTATTTGAAAACCTGGAATCTGAGGGTGCAAAAAAAAAAAAAATCTAAATATTGAGAAAATCGCCTTTAAAGTTGTCCAAACGAAGTTCTTAGCAACGCACATTACTAGTCAAAAATTAAGTTTTTATATATTTACAAAATATCTTCATGGAACATCATCTTTACCTAATATCCTAATGTTTTTTGGCATAAAATAAAAATCGATAATTTTGACCCATACAATGTATTTTTGGCTATTGCTACAAATATACCTGTGCTACTTATTACTGGTTTTGTGGTCCAGGGTCACATTTGTTTTATTATGCACTATATAGTAAGCCATACGATTTTACATTAATATCGTTCACATGTATTTAGGATAATAGTTAACTGATAGATGACGGAGACCCGATTTCCAGGGAGGACCCGATTTGTCATGACAGTGACACCGGACAACAACTCTATGTATTGCGCTTGCTGAAACACATTTAATAAACAATACATTTATATAAACAAATAATCACAAATTATTTTACTAGTAATTTTTCCTATATCATACATTTCAGTGTCCAGTGAATGTTATCTTGTAATTATAATATCCCAGTAATAATATCTGATAATAAACAATAATTGATCATGATTTTGCAATTTTCCACAAAAAAAAAAAAAAAAAAATTGTATAGACCAAAATTAAATAATGCAATATTGATCAAACTCTGATTAAACCACCTAGCAAATAAAGATGGGACTGATTGCATCTTTTATTATTTTTAATTTCATTAAACACACATAAAATCATGCTGTAAGTGCATCTAAGTTACAAGATTTTATTCAAACACATATCTGAAAAGCAACGTGTGCTGTCATACCGTTTTATCTACATAAGCCGAATAAAATATGAAAAGCAAAGGCGTCTGCACATGTTTACTGTATAAAGAAAATGTTTAAATCACTGAATCTTTGCATATTATCTTTTGTAATAACAATGAGTTTAACACATGACTGGATGGACCCTTGCAGGCACCTGCTAATTTTCATAGAACAACCAACTCATGCACAGCTCCCAAACCACAAAGCACTCCGCTGCTGAGATCCAGACCTCACAGAAGAAGATGGTTAAACCTCACTCAGCGCTACTGCATTTCTGTGGCCCAGTCTTCTCTTAGGGAACTGCCTCTTGTCTGAAATCATCTGAGCAGGAGCCCAGTCCTCTTTAACAATGAACTCACAGGTATTGTGAGACCATCATGACTATGACAGTAATCGGCTATATTCAGAGAGCGCAGATGATTTCTTAACACCATCCCAAATTCTAGCCGCATAATGAAACCTGTAAAAACAAATGCAGTCATCCATTATCTTAAAATGTACACAGATAAAATTTAATAATATTATTTAATACTTTCTTAATTTAAATATTACTTTCAAACTGATGTAAAAATGTACACAAAGAATTCAGTTCCAAAAGGAAGAACAGAAGCATTATGTGTCAGGGTGTGCCTTACCAGTTTTTCTCAGTGAGGATTGTGTGTGAGAGCTGACTGCGGGACATAGCCAAGATCTGACTGCGGAATTTAGAAACCAGTGAAGAAAAGCTGGGATGACCTCTGTAACCAGGCAGCAGAGAGAAAAGAGGGGGACCTGAACCTGGTGAACAAAAGATACAGATCCAGTGCAAATTAAGTTATTTCTTAATGGAAATAATTTGTGGAAAAGTCCATAATAATTTTCATCATTTTAAAAGAGCTATTTGCATGAGCTCTCTGATAATATGAGCTATAAAATAATAAAACAAAAACAAAACATACAATTCATAAACATCAAAAACATAATCAACAGCAGTACTGAACTGACTTTTCTAACATTTGGTTATAACTCACTTTTTGAACTCGTTCCTTGAAATAATACTACAGTTCTAAAATGTAGTTTAACAACAACTAGGCCTATTTTCTGACCTGCTCTTGTCAAAGCATCTTCCCCATCATTCTCCATCATAGGTAAGAGGAAAAGATTGACTTCTGTCTCCAAGTAATCTCGATTCAGTCCTGGGAATATGTTACAATCCAGCATGGATAAGGTGCCTACAATAGGAAAAAATGTCAATGAGTTACACACCAAATCATGTGGTGTTATGAACATGTTTACTGTCATGCCAAGTGGACTGACCTTTATATTTTAGGTGGGAATGGGCCATAAGCTTGTCAACTGCCATATGCATCTTCTTCAGATTCCGTGGACAGAACTCCTCCCTCCTTGCTTTGTTCTGCAAGAAAACTATGAAAATAGAAAGAAAGGATATGCATTAAAGCCTTACACAAAATTAAATCTGTGAGCGTTTGCCAGCAGATTCATACATCATGAACGTGAAAGTACAACCCAATTATAGCTCAGTAAATGATTCAGGAATAATGCTCATTAATAGTTTTCGGACCTATGTGAGGATAATACTCAGAGCCATCATCTGCCCCTGAGGAGCCGGTGCTGTCATGACTGGCAGATGGAGTCGAGGGTTTCAGCATCTCAGCAGTCTGCAGAAACCTGCTTACAGACTCAGCTGTTAGTTTTATGCCACACAGAGCCTCCAGTTTCCTTTGACCATGACTATCTGTAATCCCTAAGATAATTTATTGTCTATTTATTAACTATGACAATTGAAGTATATAGTATAAATACACATTACCGTTCAAAACTCTGGGGTCAGTAAGTCATTTTTGTGTAATAACAGCATATATATATATATATATATATATATACAGTGGGTACGGAAAGTATTCAGACCCCCTTAAATTTCTCACTCTTTGTTATATTGCAGCCATTTGCTAAAATCATTTAAGTTAATTTTTTTTCCTCATTAATGTACACACAGCACCCCATATTGACAGAAAAACACAGAATCGTTACAAAGAGTGAAAAATTTAAGGGGGTCTGAATACTTTCCGTACCCACTGTATATATATATATATATGAATGAAAAAAAGTAAAAAGAAGGCTAATTCAAATGTTCAAATCTTATGGTGATTTATTTCCATGTCATTATTATTGAAACTTACAATGACGTCATTACCTATACAAGTTGATATCAGTGAACCAGTCCTGAATCACAATCACAACATGGCATACGGTAAAGAGGAAGGCAGTGATCTGCAGAGACTAAACCAAACAGTTGGAAAAAAGGGAGAATTGCAGTTTAATTAAATCTACAGAATATTTTTTTGTCAAGTAGGATTATCAGAATATTCTAAAACAGTACATGACAAATAAACTCTAGAATACTATTTGTAAAAGTCCATGTGACAATTATTAAAATAAATACATGGCATGTAGTAATACATAATATTATGTTAAATTAAAATACAACATTATTTGCAAAATAGTACATGGCACAGAGTGTTTTGCATCATTGCCTTATACTCACCTGCATCTCCACATATGTATGTGGGAGATTGTATTCCGGAGGAAGCTTGCGGTCATTGTTAATGAGATGATCCAAAATAGAGGGGCTTAAAATTGGCTGGAGATGAAAATGACTTTTAGTTTATCAGGAAACTACATGAAGCAGAAAACAGCACTGTTCTGTGTGACCCTACAGTCTGACCTGCATGTCCAGAAAGATGACCCTCTCCTGAGTGATGTAGAAATCGAGTCCACTGCTCTGGTTCCCAGCTCTCTCCTTGATTTCCTGCGTCTGAGCTCTGAACACATACGCCCTGTTTAACAGAGAATCATTGGGTGAAATGCGATAACAATGAGGTGGAAAGGCAAATAAATTGGTGGAAACAAATGCAAAATCAGGATGCTGATGATGGACTAACCTCTGGTCCTCCTCTGGGCTGTTTGCAGACAGGAGAGACATGATTGTGGACTTGCCTGTGCCTTGTAGCCCAATAACCCCAACTACTAACATATCCGTCTGGTCTCGCAGGTACTGATACATAATAAACACACATTCAGCATACATTCACCTGACTGTTATGCACCTATATAGTGCAACAGATACAAAACCTAACATTATTAACAGAAAAAAATATGCCCTCACCTCCATAGCACTGTCACACCAATTCATTTGGTCATCCACTAGCTTAATGCTGTGCTTCATCTTCTCAGGGGGGAGGAGCTTAGTCTGGCCAATCACAGCTGAAAAATCACATGGTAAAGTATGATGATTGGTTAATCACACAAAAAATATCATGACATAAAATGCCCATAATAGCGGTTGAAATGAACGATTCACACAAAAATTAAAATTTGCTGAATATATACTCACCCTAAGGCCATCCAAGATGTAGATGAGTGAATTTCTTTATCATCATTTCACTTGCTCATCAATGGATCTTCTGCAGTAAATGGGCGCCGACAGAATGAGAGTTCAAACAGCTGATAAAAACATCACAATAATTTACTCCAATCCATTAATTAATGACTTCACGTAAAGTGAA